TTATAGCTCAGATTCCCTGCCTTGTACTGTTTCCTTAATGTCTTCCCCTTTTTCTGAAAGGTTACAGCTTTGACTTGTCTTCCTAGGACACTTTCTACACCAAAGGAATGTTCTTCCGCTGTCTTGCAACTTTGTATGGGATTTGACCTTGATACTTTTTTGTTGCCCTGGGTTTTGTGAAGTTAATGTCTCTAAACTTGTACGAGTGGCTTTTCTAACATCAGAGCTCCCTCTTCTGTTGTTTTCAGGTAGTGTCTGAAAATACGGGGGCTGCAGTTCTGCTCTCCGTGATCCCTTCTCCTCCTCGCTTTTATCACAACCTGACCTTCTCCTTCCTTCCTCCCAACTGCCCAGTCCCGCTCAGCCAGCCACTGTGCTTCCAAAGTGGCTCCCTGAGGAAGGCCCTGAAGAGCCCCCAGGAGCGGGGACCGCCTGCACCCCTTACTGGATGGGGTAACCTCAGCTGGGTCCATTGCCCTCCCGATACCCATTTCCTGGCCTGTGAACTGTGAACGGATAGGGCATCTATCCGAGTTATGAGGCCTGAGGTAATCATCAAGTATTTGGAACAGAGCCCGTCTCTTCGGAGGCACTATGTTACTGCTGAGTCAGGAATAGCCAGAGGCTCAGCTCCCTTAATCAGTTAGGGGATGTGGCCTAGCACCAGAGGCTCCTGAACCCACCTGGCCTTAACCCCCCCTTGCGGACTGGTCAGAAAGGCAGCAAGTCTTGTGGCGCCCCAGCTGTGGGGCTAGAAGAACAGCAAAGAAGGGGCATCTGAAGGCCAAGGGAAGCCTGTTCCAGCTGCTCCTGTGCCAAGTTCTCTGCAGGGTGGAAGCTTGGCCAGGAAGCCAGATGGGGGAAAGGAAGGGCTGGGGCTATAAGCGGAGGTGTGGACAGGGCTCCATGAGGTACCCCCCCCCCCCCCCCAGGGAAGATCTGAACTCTAGGCCATGCAGGGCTGGGAAGCAGGCCCCAGGAACAGCCTCCAATGGCTCCTTTTTGGACAATCCCCCACTCCCTATGGCTGCGGCCTCACCACCATCTGTCATCCCAGCTGGGCCCAGTCAGGGGGGCTGAGAGCCTCGCCCAGCTCAGTGACTCAGCTGAGAGTCCTCCTTCGAGCTGATCTGGCTGGGCCTCTGCCTCATCTCAAAGCCAAGCCCTGGTTTCAGCATGCCCTAAAGCTGTGCCTTCCACCTAGACCACCTGCTATTCATCCAAGAAGAGACTGCATTTTTCCTCTCGCTCTCTGTAAAAAAGAGCCTTGAGGGGTGCCTGGGTGGCTCAGTCGGTTAGGTGGCCGACTTTGGTTCAGGTCATGATCTCACGGTTGGTGGGTTCGAGCCCCATGCCGGGCTCTGTGCTGACAGCTAGCTCAGAGCCTGGAGCCTGCTTCAGATTCTGTATCTCCTTCTCTCTTTGATCCTCCCCTGTTCACACTGTGTCTGTCTCAGAAATAAATTAAAAAAAAAAAAAAAAAAAGGAGCCTCGATGTAAGCCCTCTCCAGGGAGCCAGGAAAACCACTCGACCCAGGCAGCGTGCTTGTGACAAGTCCCAGATTTATACTTTTGTGGTTTACCAGATGACATGTATAGTCAGAACATGGTCTTTCCACTAACGTGGGCCCCTCAAAAAACAGTGGTTAAGGATGATGTTGACCTTTGGAAGGTCCTGCCCAGACCTTGGGTTTGGCCCCAGCACCCCAAATCCACCCGCCCCTCCCTTCAGTGCCTGCTTCCAGGACCTGCCCCCTAGTCTGCTCTAGCATCTGGGCGCATGCCCAACTTGGTCCGATCACACCTCCCCCACGTGTCACGAAGCTCCTGTGCGAATCAGTCAGCTGTTGCCCAAAGTCTCAGACACTGCACCACACCCACGAAGAAAGGAGGGGTAGTGGGCGGAAGGGCAGAGAACAAAACCTGTAGGCGGAAGCTGGGTTCATCCCCTAGTTAAGAGGCAGCTCTTGACCAGTGTCTTGGCTCAAAAGTAAACTTACACTACAGCAAAACTTAATGAGCCTCTCTGGTCACAGTCAGAGATCTTCAGGGTCAACTTCGAGCGCTTGGCAAAGTGACTCAAACAGTAGATGTCCGAGTGACCAGCTTTACAGTGTACTGGTCTGTAGGAACCTTGGCATCACCTGAGGCTTGTTAGTAAGGGGGCTTCTCAGGCCCCACTCAAGAGCTGCTCAATCAGCCATCAGCTGGCATTTTAACCAGATCGCTTGTGATTTGGGCACATGCTAAAGTACCAGCATCTCCGGCCTCAAGCAGCCACTCTCAGTCCTGGCTGTACTTGAGAGTCACCTGGAGGTCTTTGAAAACCACTGATCTCTGGGGATTCTGACATCAGTGGCCTGAGGTGCAGTGCCGGCATTGACAGATTTAAAATCTCTCCCACTGACTCTAATATGCGGCAAAGACGGAGCTCGGTCAATCTTGGGCACTTGCTAGCTCTGAGCCTTAGTCTTCTAGACTGAAAAAGGAGGGACTGTTTCCTGGGCCTAAAGAGATTAGTGACCACAGGATGTCTCTTGGGCAGAGGAGAAGAGCTCAAAGGGTGGCTGGAAGGAGGGAGACTAAAGAGGAGGCGGGCCATTTCAGTTTGTCCCTCTCCAGCCCCATCCGCTGCCAGGTCCAAGGAGCCCCCAAGCCAACACAAGCCCCCCTGCCCCAAGCAGGCCTGAAGTTGGAGGGGAGGTCGGTGACTCAGCCTGCCACCATCGTCCCTATCAAGCTCACGTTTAGGAACATGTACAGGATGTTCAGCATAAATAGGGGCTCATCTGTTTATTTTGCAGCTTCCCTGTGCAAACATTCTAGCCTTTGGAGAATGCAAGAGCCACATTCTCAGGAACTGCACAGAGGCTGTTTACTTACCAGCTTCTCAGGTTAGGGACATTATTTCCTACTACAGGGGACTAGAGTGGAAATTCTTGAGAATTTGTCTCACACCAATCATGTTTAAGAGCCACGTTTTAGGAACTCTCCTTCCTAGGAAAGTCTTATCTGAGCTCCAGTTCAACCACCTTGTGGAAGGAGGAGCAGCTTGGTGGCCTCGTTGGGGACAGAACAGTTCTGCCAGCTCAGGGTGCTCCTTGCCCTATCTTCATCCTACCTCCGGGAGGCTGCCAGTTAATGCCACTCATTGCAGGTGAAGATTGCCCAGTTGAGAGGTGACCCAGGAGCCAGGCTTCAGAACCCCTGATCTAGACCAATGTTTCCTAAACTCGCTCCTTCACAGGAACCGGCTAAGAGTGTTGCTCCTGTTCATGCTGATTCCAGCCCCACTGCACCGAAGTTTCCAGGAGACTCTAGAATGTGTATCTTTGGCAAGAGCCCCCCACCTCCACCCCGCAAATAACAGCTCCCACTTCTTAAGACCTTAAACAGTGCCAGGCATTGTGTTAGGTGCCTTTAAACCATTCATTTAATCCTCACAAGAACCTCGACTAGTTAACGATATCGCTCAGGATCACGCAATGATCAGAGACAAGAGCCAGAACCCAGCCTAGTATCGCTGCTGCAGAGCTCCTGAACCAGGAAGCACAGAAAGAGAACTTAGGACCCGGGTGGGGCTGATTATTCTCCCCGGGGACCTGTCGAGGGCACTTCACAGGTGACTCTTCTGCAAGGGGAGGGGAGACCTGGGAAGACCGCCTCCATCCAACATGGAGGCCTGAGTTACCCTGGAGCCCTCAGGCTGTGCCTGGGCCATCCACTCTGGGTGGCACTCTCTGGGCTTTATCAGGTCTCCGGGCCAGAGAGCGGCCCCACCCAGAATGCTTCACCTGGGGTCAGGCTGGGTGCTCTGTTAGCCAAGGGCACAAACAGGCAGGAGTTTCCAGGGAGCCCACTGACTGGCACCCCATGTAACCAGCTTTCCCTCCTCATGACCCAGGGGACCACCCAGGCAGGGAGCAGACAACACAGGGGACATCTGGCTCAATTACCACCCCCACCCTTCCCATACTTCACTCCTGAGAGCCAGCTCTAAGATCCCCATAATCACAGGCTGGCGGGTCTAAATGAGTTTCCTGTTTCTTGATTCCACCCCCCTCCCCCACACTGAAAGAGAAAATGAGAGAGCAACCCCCAAGCCTACCTTGAGACTGCTTTGCTAACCACTTCCCAAATGGTGTGCTAGGATCATGACTGGCATAGCCTTACGTGAGGCTGTAGGAAATCATCAACATTTGGCAGAGATGAAGGATCTCAGGGTGGGGGGCCAGGAATCGCCTTCTAAAAGCTCAGAAGAGGACAGGCCAGAGCCAAGGTGGAGGAAGCAGAGGCCTACAGAAAGGATCCAGGAGGGGAGAAGTGTGAATGGACCCAACCTGCCTCTGCCCTAACTTCTGATGTGGGAGCCTGAAGTCAAGGGGCCTGCGATTTTTGGGGGTGGGGGAGCGTTGGCCAGGTAACGAGCTGATCTGCCTTTAACTTCAAAAGACCAAAAAAAAATTCCAACAAGGAAAGCAAAACCTCCCATGGCCAAGCCTCTACCCACCTTCTTCCTCCTCGGGTTCAGAGATGTCTTACCTGCCCCGGCAGAAGCAAGGCCCTAGAAGGCAGAAAGGGACTAGGAGAGTCTTGAGGGACACAAGGTCCCACTACTGGTTTGGGGCTTGGGGACGGGTATGAAGTACACCCAGACCTCTCGGAAGGGGAAACTCCCAGGCCCAGCCCTAGGGATCACTTCCCGGCAGGGCAGGCTCTCGGGCGGGGTGGGGCCTGGCCTTTTAAAGGGCCCTCGCAGCTGGTTCTGACTCTCTCCTCTGGGCGGCTTCTGCTGCAGCTGAAGGCACTGCAGCCTCTCAGCTCTCTCGTCCCACCTCAGAGCCAACTGGTGGCCCTGGAACGGGACCAGGAAGGCTCAGAGGGGCAGGTCCTGAGTTCACCTCTGCCCCATGTGGCGTTCATTTCCCAATCAGGCCGAACAGGTTCCGCTTCTCTACAACTATCCGGGCTCCTGCTGCAGCCCACCCCCTAAGAGAAGATAATATTGTTGTTTTTATTTTAGACTCAGAAAATTCAGCGCCGGTTCTCCAAAGAGATGTTCAACAGAAAACAAATACACACACGTCCTCCGCCTGGCAAGGTGCGGTGTTAGGAGCTTGGGAGTCTCTCCTCTTCCCCAGCCCCCTGGGTGAGGGAAGGAGGGCCCAGGTTCCCGCAGGCATACACCCTGCATCCTAAAGGCGACAGCTGCAGCAGCAGTCAGTATTTCCGCTGCCGGGGGAAGAGAGTACTTCCTGAGGACCGGAGAGGGGGACTGGTGGGGCTGGGGTCCTCTGAGTCCAGGCTGAAGAGGTCCCTGCCAGTGCGAAGGATCTGCTCCTCTAGTTTCTTGTGTCGCTTCATGTCTGAGAGGACCTTGTCCAAGCGAGCCTCCCGTTTCTGGCTCCGGGCGGAGCTCCCTAGAGAAAAGGAAGGTAAGAAACGTGGACGGGAGACGGTGTGCACTAGGCCTGCCTGGATGTTACTAATTAATTACTTGGGGAGCTCATTAAACATACAGACTTCCAGGCCTGTCATGGAGGTTCTGAGGTTTAGGGTTGGGCCTCAGATGGGGTAAGCAGTGAAGGTCTGAGCCATGAGAAGGGGCCAGTAATGTGAAGACCAGGGAAGGGTATCCAGGCAGGGGAAGAGCAAGTGCAAAGGCCCCAGGGCAGGAGCAGGGAGGTCTGTTCAAAGAAGAGTATAGAAAGCTGGGGGTGAGACTGAAAGGTGTGCTCAAAGAATCAACTTATAGGCCATGATGAGGGGCTTGGATCTCTTAATTTAAATGCAAATGTCCGTGGAAGCCTTGGGGGCCCCAGGGAGTGGCAGAGTTGGGGGGGGGGGGTTGTGGTGTCTGGATTCTCTCTTGCCATGCTCTTTCCCCCAATGATGGAATCCTTTGGAGGATTTTAAGCAGAGTAGTGACATGATTTATATTTTAATAGGATCATTCTAGTTGCTGAGAATGGAAGCAGGGAGACGAGTTAGAAGCCACTGCCAAGTACCCCGGCGAGAGAGCTAATGGCTTGGACGAGGGTGTGGTATTGGAGGTGCAGAGTAGCAGATGAACTTGGAAATGTGGAGGCAGAGCTCACGGAACTTGCTGCTGGCTTGAATGTTGGGGTAAGGGAAAGAGCAATCAAGAATGGCTCTAAGGGTAAATTCTAGGAAGGCACAAGGGGTCTGAAATTGGGTCAGATTAGGAGATGTACACAGTAGTAGAGGGCTCAGGATCTAGATAATAATGAATGACCAGGAAGACCTGAACTTCTAGGGAGACAGAGAGAAAACGAATGGGAAGCATTATAGAATTGTTTTTGAAGAAAAGTTTCGTAAAGGAAGGTAAGACATCTATCCAAGCTGGAAGGAAGGCACCACTGGGCGAAATGCTCGCTCCTGCAGCTGCAAGTTGGGTAGCAACCAAGGCACCGAGCACAGGCCTCTTTTAGGGAGTCACTTTTTAGGTCAGCGGGAGTAGAGGCTCTTCACCCCCCCCCCTTGTCTGTACCTGGGGTGCGTCTCCGGTCAATCAGGGAGTCCTTTGGTGTCATTGGCTCATCGTCAAAGTCAAATTCTGTAGGCATGTGCGGTCTGGGACAGGGGGACAGAGAGGGAAGGGTGAGGGTGGTCTCCCCAAGTACCCCAGCCTGCCGGCCCTTCCCCCCACCTTCCATCTCAACACTTTCCATGCTCCAGGGCCCCACCTCCCCTCCCAATTTCCTCCTGGCATCAAAGGAAGCAAGCCCCAGGAACAAGGTGTTAAGGGTGTGCCCTCACTTTTCCTCTTCCTCCTCTTTGGGCTCAGGCTCCTCATCGGATCTCTCCTCTTCACTCTGGGCCTCAGGCGTGGGTGGCCGGCGGGGCAGGATCTCAGCCCGAAGCTCCAGGGTACCGTGGGCAGCCAGAAGTTCATAGAGCCGCTGGATTTCGGAGGGAGGAGGCATCCAGGCCTGCCCATCCGCCGGCAGCTCCACCTCCTCATCACTGCAGGGCACGCACCAGTCTTCGGATTCTCCCGTGGCATGCTCTTCCCCTTCAGCACTGGGGGCTTCTCCCTGCACCTCCTCAGCCCCAGACCCCTCATGCTCGGTCTCCTCCCGGCTTCCTTCCCCCTCTTCTTCGGCTTTATTGGCCGAAGCAGAGGGGCCTCCGGTATCCTCCACGGCCAGAGCTTGGAGGCCAGAGGTCACTTCCCCTTCTTCAGACAGAGGCGCCGCCGTGGTGGCCGAAATGTCTCCATGACCCCGAACAAGGGACATAGGCTACTAGGGGAGGGGCCCTGCGATGATAGGAGATGCGGGAGTACTGAACCGGGGGGCGGGGGGGCTCTCGCGTCCCCCTCCCCCAAGGGATTGGGCTGCCCAGGAGTTTGGGATTGTCTCTCCAACCAATCAGGCTCCAACAGCGGTCCCCGCGACGAGACCGCCGGTTCCCAGGAGGGGGCGCTGAGTCCCCTCCGAGGACCCCACCCCACGGATCCAGATCCGGTACTCCAAGATTCCCAGGGATCGCCGGAACCACTTTCTGGGCCGGAGAGGGGCGGAGCCGCTCTTCACGCCTTCACACCGCCCCTCTCCACACCTGGATCCGGCGCCCTCTCCCCACACCTCGCAGTTCAGCCACCTCAGCCGCCGTACGCACCTGGAGCTAAGACCCGCCTCCCGGGCTGCGCAGGGTCACAGTACGCAGGCGCATAGAGATGGCGCGGAAGGCTCCGCTCTAGCCAAAGCTACTTGGAAAAGGAAAGCGAGGGGAAGATTGCACATGCGCAGGTAGGCTCGGGCACAGTTGGCTTCGGCCCACAGTAAAGATGGCCACCGGGTCGTCGCATGCGCACACCACTCAGCAGGTTCTGCCTGAAAGGGGGCAGTACTACGGGTCCCGGAGGCGGCGGACAGACGTAAGGACCAACTGAGGCTTAGAGGCGAGTCTCATGCAGTCTCCGTTTATTGGTGTTTCAGACTCATGCAGCATCCGGCATACAAAGAGGGAGAATCTGTTTAATGTATCTTTTTTTTTTTAAGACTTTTAGTGTTCCCCCCACGCTTTTTTTTCTTTCTTTCTTTTTTTTTTTTTTAAGAAAACAAAACCCGCCAACTCCACACAGCGTCATAGCTAGGTCCCCGCCTCCCTAGCGGACTGTCGCGTGCAACAAACCTCTCTCGTCCTCCTGGAAAATAATTATAGAGCTTCCCGCCCCTCACTTGCTCCCTGCATCTGGGAGCTTTGGTTGTTTCTGTTTCGGGGTTCTTTCCCTACAAAGCACGTGAATGACCCCAGCCCCGACGCCTTTAAGAAACTCGCTGACCGGGTTAAAAAGCTCAGGTGGGGCGGGTCAATTCGGGCTGATCCGAGAGGGTCAACAGCCACGCCCCATCCTCCTCCCAGGTGCGAGTTCAAAACAGAGCTAGCGACCGTGCACGACACTCTGCACGAGTCCCCAGACAAGGCCTGGCTTGCCAGCTCTGTGACCCAGAGGCGCCCCGGGGGCGTCAGGACCTGGGTGGTCCCAGCAGAAAATAGTCGAAACCCAAGCTGGGGAGCCCTCCCCTGACACCAGTCCCCTCCCCCAGCCTGATCTACGCGCTAGAGTTTTTGCAGAGAAACCGGTGGCAGGAGGGGGGAGGAAAGGATCCTGAGGGGAGGAAGGGGTGCGGAGGGGAGATGAGGCAGAAAGGGGGCAGAGGGTGTGAAGGGGGAAGGAGAGATGATAAAGGGGAGACGGGAGAAAGGGATGGGGGAATATGCCAAGACAGTGAAAATTGAAAAGGGGACACTGGGGCTGAGGTGCAGGGAAGTTGGGAGGAATGCAGGGAGGCTGAGAGCAGAGAGAGTTTGTGAGACGTACAGGGAGGTTTCCAGAAGTGCAGGGATAGGGAGGCCCAGAGGCTGGAGGGGATGCAGGCAGAAGTGCAGGGAAGTTAGAAACAGTGCAGGAAGAAGAGAGGCCTACGGTTGGCACAGGAGCCTGGCAGGATGCAGCAGCAGGAAAGAAGCTGTAAACAAGGCCGCTCAGGCTCCCTTGGTCCCTATGGGTGCGGGCCTGGGCCATCGATTGGGCTCCCCCCAGGGGAGGATGGGCCCAAGGCAGCTCCCAACAGGAAGGAAAATCTTGGTATGCGGGGCAGAGCCCCTCACTTATACACTGTGGGAGAGGAGAGGGAGGGACAGACAGAGACAGTGAGGGGGGGGAGGGGGAGACAAGGAGAGACAAAGGAGAAGTAGGGAGGACAGACAGGAGAGAGCAGGGGTGGGGGTTAGTAAAGCTGCCCTTGCCAACCCTTCCACTCCTCCCGGCCTGTCCCAGACCCCCACTCACCGCCTAAGTTGATGACGCAGGAGGCGATGATGATGAGGACCCCCCCTACCAGCGCCACGATGCTTAAGAGCTTTGCCACGCGGCCCAGACGCTGGGCCCCATCCACGTCCCCCTGCTGCAGGCTGTTCCGGGACTGGGGGTGGGGTGAGGGGTGGGGCACCGTGGCCCAGGTCAGGAGAAGGCAGCCCAGCAGGGATCAGGTGAAAGAGTTGTCCAGAGGAGACAGGCAGGCCCCGTGGACAGTGGTTAAAGGAGGAAAGAGGGTTGGAGAGGCAGGGGGAGGAGGGCACAGGTCAGCAAGGCTGTGTGGAACAGGTCTTGACATCCCTCCCACCTGAAGGGTTAGGGCAGTGGTGGCTCAGAAGGTAAAGTCCTTAGGGAGAGGCCAGGAAAAGCCCCGTAATTGGGAAGTGAGATCCATGCAGAGAAGAGAGGGAAGACAAGGCCGCTCCTGGGGTTCTGTCCAGGTGCTGGCAGGAAGCTGGGAGCCACAGCAGGCCTGGGCCAGGGTCCCATGGGGCTCACCATGACAGCATAAGCGAAGGCCACGATGTTGACAGGCCACATGGGGCAGAAGCAGGACAGGATGGCGAGGATGATGTAGTCCCGAGGTTTCTGGGTGCCTTCACCCCCCTCCACCCCAGACCCTGCCAGCTGGGAGCTGGGGTGGCGGCTCAGGCTACCTCTGGGAGATCCTGGATGCCCACTGTGAGCCCTTCCTAGACGATCCTCCTCAACCAGCTGCTGCAGCACGCGGGGAGGAGCCCCATTGGCTGGGTGGGTTTTTGTTGAGGGTGGTGAGTGAGGCTGAGGGGCTGGGCCCTCTTCCCCATCGCCAGCCTGCAGGGGAACCACTGCCCCATTTTCTTGCTTTTCCCCCACACTCTCAGTGAGGACTTCGGGGGTGGGGTCCTCCTGAGTAGGGGGCTCTGGCTGAAGAGCTGACTTGGGGGTGGGCTGGGAACCTGGCTGGCAGTCTGGCTGAGGGTCTGATTGGGGGTCCAGCTGGGGAGCAGACTCTGAGGCTGGCTCAAGTGGGGCTGCAGACCCCAGATCAGACCCCTGGTCTGCAGTGGCCTCTTTATTTGCTTCTGGTTTGGGTGCTGGCTCTTGGCATGCTTCTTCGGGGCTGGGGTTGGCATTTGATTCCCCTCCTGGACTTGAGCTGAGGTCTCTGGCCTGGGCTGTTTCTGGGGCCCCAGTTAGGGTCTCTGTGGTTTCTGGAGCCAGTCCAGCTTTGGTTTCTGAGTCCACAGGGGCCCCAGTGTTGTCTGGGCCGGGCTGCAGGGCCTCTGGCTCATCTGGGACCCCAGCTGGGACCTGGAGAGGGCCAGTTTCGGCTTCAGAATGGCCAGGCCCTTCTCCTTGGGTTTGGGGACCTTCTTCTATCCCCTTCATCTCTGAGACCTCAGAGCTGCTGGCTGCCATCTTGAGAGGGGAGAGAGGAGAGGACCTCAATGGAGAGGATGGAGCAGCAGAGAGCGGCAATCCTGGAAGAGGAGGAGACAGGTTTGGTGTGAGGAAGAAAGAGGTGGCTCTCAGCACTGCAGCCCGAGGGCAATGCTCCTGTCTTAGGGCCAGCCTTGGGCTGCCTCAGGGGAGAGAAAGAAAAGTTGGGGCTTCCTTTGCCTTAGGGTGGGACATCCCTGGGGAGGGCTGCTCTGCTCAAAGTCTTCTGCTGGGAGAGCCCTGGGAAGATTAACCCTTTTGTAAACAGGATCCTCCCCACGGGCTCTTCCTGGGTCCACCCATCAGGAGCCAGACTCTCAGATCCTAGCAGATGCCCCAGCACCCCGAAATCAACAAGCTGTGCAGATGCTCGTAACACTCCGACAGGCAGACAGGCAGACCCGGGCGGAGGACCGATGCTCACATTCCACTCCCTCTGCATCCTCCCCTCCTCCCCGGGTGCCCCGCCGGTGCAGTTTTCTCACTGCGCGTCTGGGGCACAGACGCCCCCGCCCCGCCCTGGGGGACCTGGGCATTTCCTCCGAGCCCCTTCTCAGTCCCTCTCGCAGGGATTCCCTCAACCCTCGGGAAACCGCCGCCGCCTCCCATCGGCGTGGCGCGCCGGGCACCGCCAGCCAGTCCGCCAGGCGCCCGCATTCCGGTGCAGCCCGCCCGGTGTCCGCCGTCTGTCCGCGCACTCCTACCCGCAGCCTCTGTCCATCCCCGTCTCACCTCGACGCCGGCTTCTAGACTGCTCCCGCTGCTGCCGCCACCGCCGCCCCGTTGCAGCAGCCGCAGCCCGGGAGGGAGCGAGTCAGCGAGCGAGGGAGGGAGGCGGTGGGTCTCCCCTCCCCTCTGCTCGTCCCCTCCTCTCGCTCCTCTCAGGTCCCCTCCCCGACGCTCCGCTGCAGCCGCGCACCGCCCCCGCCCCTCGCCTGCCTCCCGCCCCTCCCGGCCAGCCCCAGGGAGCCACGCGTGCCAGGCCTCGCGTTACCCGGGCAACCGGCCGGGTAACCACTCGCACCCCCTCCCTACCCCTTCCCACGCGCGCCTCCTGGGGGCGCCCCCTTCCCAAGCCCTGGGCCCCTCCCGTCAACGGTCACCGGGGGTCCTGACCGAGGCAGGGGGCTGGGGGAAACCGAGAGGGGTCTGCGAGGAGACAGGACCCGTGAGACAGGCGGGATCCGGTGGTGGCACCCCAACAAGCAGGAAGAGGGGAAGGGAGATGAGGCAAAACTTAGGGAGGCTGCTCAGGAGGAGCAGGGTGGGGTTTTAAGAGAGGGGAGTCTGCGGTACAAGAAGTCCCACTACCCCCCCCCCCCCCCCCCCCCCCACACCCGAGGAAGCAGCAGCAGAAATGGGCACTGGAAGGCTCCGGGGTCCCTGGAGCAGGACTCAAAAAGGAATTGCAGGGCAGAGGCTGCAGGGGCAGTCTGGAACAGGAGGGGGCTGGGGCCGCGGAGCCCGGAAACGCGGAAAGGACCACGCCTAGAGTGAAAGGGACAGGTGGGGAGAAGTGCAGTTTCTCTTCTCCTCCCTTACTGCTCCCAGTCCCGGGGCTGACTTCCCCGTCCTTTCTGCAACTCCGCCACCCACCGTCACCGCTCAGGGCCTTAAGGGTGTGCAGGTATTCGGCGGGGTGGGGTGTCTCAGCAGCAGGCAATGGGTGTGGGTGGGGGAGCGCCGCATTTCTGTCTGGTAACCGTTTGGGTTTCTAACCCAGGCATCTTCAAGCCTCCAGTGGCTATTCTGGGTCTGCTCAGATTGGGTATTCCCCGGAGACCCGGGAGTCCTGGAGCCTGCGCTCCAGTCACTGGAGCCTCGGCCCCACCCTGAATCTGGGCTGCAGCCACTGGTGCTGCCTCTGGTGAGGGAGGAGCCAGAGCCCCAGAGCCCCGCTGGGTAGAGAAAGGCTGGGGCTGACACCAGGCAAAGAAGAAACTCCTTGGGGGTGGGGACGGAGGGCTTGGTGAGAGCCATTTATCCAATGTAGAGTCAGAGACAGGTTTTTATTTAAAATTTATTGTAATGGGGTCCGCGCAAAAGGAGGGGATGAAGGGTGGGGAACATGCAGGGGACACAGGAACACGATGACATGGCCAGGGCCACAGCTTCTGTCTTGGGGGAGAGGGATGAAAAGAAAAGGCCAGGGCTGGAGCTGGGGTGGAAGAGGGACAGGGGAGACACTGTGACTGCATTCCCCCCACCCCCAGGAAGCACCTTCAGTCCCTGGATCCCCCCGTTTACCCTGGCACCCTAAAATTCCATCTCTTGTCCTGCCTCTGGCCCTAGTGGCTCCTTCTTTTGCTCCCCTTGACTTGTTTTCCCCTGACAGCTTCTAAGTAGGATGATGTTTAGGGCCTGACCCTAAACAACCCCACCTTACGAAGGTACTACCGTTGCCTTCCCTGCTTCTGCCCCTTCTCCAATCTCACCTTTTTCCCTCTGGGACAGAATCTTTTGATTCCCCTCCTTCCTCTCCTCCCTCCCCCTGAAAAAAAAAAAAAAGCACCAACTCCCCAGGGAGGGGCAGCAGACAGTAGTGGGGGGTGGGGGGAGATGGAAGGAGGAGAGCAAGGACCATCAAGGAGAAGGCTCACAGATCCCTGGAAGGGCAGGGCAGGGGGTTACAGAGAGGAGAGGGGGTGAGGGCAGTGGCCGCTCCTGTCCTCTGCCACCCCTGCCCACTGTCCAGGAGGCTTCACCACAACCGAGAGGGCAGGTGTGTGTGTGGGGTCAGGTCTGACAGGGAGGAGAGAGGAGCAGGAGAAACAAATCGTTAAAACCTAGCGAATTCCCCTAAGAGACATCTCTTCCTCCTTTCCTTCTGGAGGCTCCTTGGTTGGTGGGGAAGTAGTGAGGAGTTGGTGGGAAGAGAGAGGGGAAGAGGAGACGGTACCAAGGGACTTTCCTCCACTTTCCACTCTCCCCACCACCAACTTAGAGCTCACCAGGGCTGAGAGGGAAGTGGCTGAGAGCTCACGGGCACCCCCTCGGCCCCCGAGAGGGAGCCCACAGCTGTGGGGGGGGCTGCCACTGCCGCCGCCGCTGCTGCCGCCGCTGCTGCTGCCGCCGCCATAGGACAGACCTCACCGGTACCTGCATAGCAAGAAACACCAGGAGATCACAGTGCAATCTGAATGGCAAGAGCCTTGCCCCTTGCCCCAGACTCATTCCCAGACTCCCTCCCCTGGGACACAGCCGTTGCTCACTTCCTGTTTAGTCCCCAGAGGCCTCCACCTGCATCCTTACCCAGATTTCCTGAAGGGCCTTCCCTGTCCCCAGAAGTCTCCCTAACTTCAGTGACGGATGGGCATCCCTGGCCTTCCTGAGATCCCCTATTGGGCCCTTTGAGCCCCCTCGTCCCACACAACCCATCCCACCCCCCCCAGCCATGCCCCACGCCTTGCCTGGTGGGTGCGGGGGTCCCCCTCAGCAGGTGGGCTGTGGCTGGGGGGCGTCTCCCGGGACAGGGGGGGCGGCCCCCCCCAGATGGGTCTGCATGTGGCCGGCCAGCTGGGCAGGGGTCTTGCAGTGCACGCTGCACAGCTTGCACAGGATGCGGTCAGCCCGCGGGGCCTGGAGCCCGTGGTCCTTCACCGCGTGGATGCGCAGGTATGCTGCTGTGGTGAAGCCTATTGGGGGGGGGGTGGATTGGGATGGGGGATGGGGGTCAGCCAGGTGGAGACCCCAGAGACGGGGCTGTTCTCCTAGGCTGGGGACGCCCTGCTCAGATGGCCCTGTCCTCCTCCCACCGTATCCTTGGTAGCCTGGGGCCAACTACTGTTGGGGCTGGTGGGGGGACATTCCCTCCCTAGGTTTGGGGCCTGGTCGAGTGGGGTCAGCTTCTTAGCCTTGGTACCCACAGAACCTATTCTCCGTGGCTGGGGGACATCTCCCGGGGTGACAGGGCACTGACTCCTAGCCACTTGAAGAGTTGACCCTCAGCAGAGACGGCTGTGTCCCCTCCCTCCAGGGCCCCATACAGTCTCAGCCCAATTACTCCATGAATATGTGACTCTGTTTAAAAGCAGCTTTTTCTGCTACTGGGGCAGGGTGCGAGCTTGTTAAGCCCCTGCCAACGTGCTCCACTTGCCCCAGGAGCCGAAGAGCAGAATGTGTGGCCGCACAGCTGAAACCCTGCCTTCCAACCCTTGGGAACTGGCTCTTGACCACTCCTGCCCCAAAGGAGCAAGTCCTGCTCTCACCCTCCCTCCCCTCCCCTCCCCTCCCCTCCCCACCGAGACTGACTCTTCCTGGTAGGTCATCTCCAGTCAAAACCTCGAAACACTTAATGAGGTTCGGTCCTCCCGAGGTTCGGTCCTCCGGATGGTGCTCCGTTTGCTTCCTAAAGGGCTCTAGATGCCGTGAGCTCTTGACTACGACACCCCACGTCTTTAACCCATGTCTGTGGAAGGGCCTCTGGCTTTGTCCCCACCCTTTGTCCCTGGCCCTCCCAGCATCCCTCAGCATGTACCTTTGTTGCAGAGCTCACAGACATGGTGAGGGCCCTGGCTGTGCACCTTCATGTGGTCCGAAATATAAGCCGAGCTCAGCATCTTGCCACACACATGACATGGCACCTTCTCCTCGTGTCGTACTGTGTGCGCCCGAAGTCGATCCTTCGTAGCAAAAGCTGCCTCACATTTCTGGGGAGGGGCGAGGGGCGTGGGGGGGTGTCAGGAGAGTTAAAGCTTTGGGGAGTAGGGAGAGGGGGGCAAGAGGTTAAAGGAATCAGAGCCTTGGGGATCTTTGATCTGTAGGAAATGGGAGTGAGATGACAAGGCCTTGAAGGAGGGATGAGAAAATGGAGTGAAAAAGCAAAAAGAAGAGAGAGAAAAAGGGGGTCTGAGAGGCTGAGCTCAGACAGCTACAATGAGGATCAAAATCATGAAAACCGGGACAAGAGAAGGCGGCTTCCTACCTCACATTTGAAGGGCCGCTCTGTTGAGTGCACTTGTCTGACGTGACTGTTGAGGTGATCCGGCCTGGGGACACGTTGGGGTTGGGGTTAGGGGCCTGGGGAGAGGACGCGCTCCCAAATCTACCCAACTTAGCACCGCGGGCCTTTCCGAGGCGCCCTGCATTTTCGTCCAAGCCCAAGGCTTCGGAAGGCCTGCGCCGCAGGAAACCCCTCCCCCTGACGCGGGGCGGGCTGGTCCTCCTCCCACGCGAAGCTTTCTTACAACCGGAGGGCCCACCTCCTCGGCTAAGTACCACCCCCTGCTCCCTGGTAACCAGGAGAGGCTTTCCTCCCTCCTCCCAGGGAGTGGCTCCCGGTCCCCGTCCTCAGAAACCTCCTCCCTCCCCGCCAGCCAAGGCCAGGCCACCTCCGTAGCCGTCCCTCCCTCCCCACCCGCCCAGTGGGCGGCCGAGGCCCCGTGCACACCGGGAGAAGCTCTTGCCACAGTGGGAGCAGTTGTAGGGCTTGTGCACAGCGCCGTCATGTGAGCGCACGTGGTAGCTCATGCGGTCCTTGCGCTTGAAGCGCTGCTGGCACACCGGGCACTGGTAGGGCTTCTCGTCCGAGTGCGACAGCTTGTGTCGGTTCAGGTGGTAGACGTCGCGGAAGGCCTTGCCGCACATCTCACAGGCGTGGTTCTTCCGGATGCGCTTTCCCGAGGCGGTCGTGGTCACCACGCCACCCGCGGCCACGGCGGCCGCTCCGCCGCCCGCACCCGCTTCTCCCCCTCCCCCGCCGGCTCCGCTCAGCTGGGGCACGCTCAGGAGGCTCAGGGGCACCATGGTGGGCATCTTCATAGCACCCGAGGGGACCCGGCCGGCCTTGGCTCCTGTGTGGATGGCCTCGTGCCTCCGGAGGTTGTAGCCGTTCTTGAACTCCTTGGCGCACAGAGCGCAGATGTAGGGCCCCTTGCTCTTTGTTTTCTTCTCCAAGGCAGATGCGACCGGGGCCACGGCGACCGTCGAGGTTGGGGCTACGACGGCGGTGGCCGCGGCTGCGGCGATGGTGGCGGCAGAGACAGGGGGCGCGGCCTCGGCTGCGGGCGCCGACACCGGCGGGGGCGGCGGCGGGGGCGCCGGCGGCTGCTTCAGAGCCGCTGTGTCCACTGTGGAGGCGGCGGCCGGGGCCGGGGGCGCAGCAGCGACGGCGGCGGCGGCCGCGGCAGCTGCGGCGGCGGCCGCGGCGGCGGCGGACTCCTGGGCGGCGGCGAGAACCGGGAGCAAGTCCACCTGGAGGGGCTCGGCCGCCGGGGGCTGGGGCGTGGGTGGGGGCGCCGGCGCGGCCTGCGAAGACAAGGCGCCGTGTGGGCCGCGGCCGCGGGTCGGCGCCCTCCCGGCCCGGCCCGCCACGGCCGGCCCCTACTCACCTGGAATGGACTCTGGGCGCAGCCCTGGGAGGCAAAGAAGCGGGACTGGAGCTCAGCCCCGACCTGCAGGGGGTTCTGGGCGTGACCCTGAGGTGGCGGGAAGGAGTTCATGAGGCCGCCCACCCCCCGGGAGTCCAGGCCCAGCACGGGGAAGGGGGGGGCCAGCAGCGTGCAAGGGAACACGGGGAACATGGCCTCGGCCACGGCGGGGGCCCCGGGGCTCAGCGGGGGCCGGGGGCGCGGGCCGCGCGGGGCCCGGGCTCGGGGCGCCGCCCCCGGCCGGCCGGGCTGGGCCGCGCCGAACGCATGGCCCGCGGGCCGCCCCGCCGCCCGCGCACCCCGGCCGGCGGGAGGGAGGGAAGGAGGGCGCCTGGCGGGCCGCGGAGCGCGGCGGCGACGGCGGCGGCGACGCCCCCTGGGTGGGGGCGGGAGGCCCCGCGGGGCCGGGGGCCGGGGGCGGGGGGGGGTGGGACGGGAGGGAGGGCGGGCGGGAGGGGGTGTGGGAAGGGGGGTGGGGGGGCGGGGGGAGGGGGTTGTTACCTGGAAGATGAAGCTGCTCCAGTTGCCGGGATCCATGGCGGAGGGAGGGAGGGAGGTGGCTCGAGCTCACCCTGGGGCGGGAGGAGGAGGAGGCGGCGGTGGGGGAGGAGGGAGGGAGGGAGGTGGCTCGAGCTCACCCTGGGGGGGGGGGAGGAGGAGGCGGCGGTGGGGGAGGGGGAACCCAGGGAGGAGGCGCGCGGGGCGGGCGGGAGGGGGGAAGGAGGAGGAGGGTGGGGGGAGCGGAGCACACTGCGCGCGGGGAGGGCGGGCGGGGGGCGCGAGGACACACAAGAGGCTGGAGCGGGCGCGAGCGCGAGCGCGCGCGAGGCCAGCGGGAGGGGGGAGGTACGAGAGGGACTCTTGGCGGGAGGAGGGACGGGGGAGCCACCCAGCAGCCCGAGTCGCCCCAAGCGCGAGACCCCTGAGACGGCCGCTGATTGGCTGACGATGGCGCAGGTGGTGGGCGCGCGGGAGACAGGGCGGCTTCTCTCTTCCCCCCCCTTCAAAGATTCCACCCCCCTCCTCCCTCCGCCAGCGGCCGTTATTTCGCGCGCACGCGCATAAAACCGCTGTCGTTGCTGAGCGGGAGACCAGGGGAGCGCGCGCCGGGGGTACGGGTGGGGCGGGGCTAAGCTGGAAGCGCGCGCCCGCCTAACGGTCGTCGTTCTGGAGCTTTCGCGCTAGTTTTTTGTTTCCTCTCGGCCACCGTCCTTCCTCTCCCATTCCAGCGGTTTATTTACAATCCTGCCCCGCTTCTTTCCTGCCTGTTCTTCCCAAAGATGGCGCCCAAAGAAGTTATGCGGCGGAGCTTGTGGCCCATCCCAAGGGCAATTATACCCCTGACCCCACCCCCGTAGTCCCAAGAATCAGGCTGAAGCACCGAAATAAAAACTGTATTTACACGACACGCAGTTATACGAGAATTTTTTTTAAAAATGGCAAAATGAGGAAAGGAGCCTGCAGTCAGGAGGGGTCGCAGCGATGACGCGCGGCGAGACCCAAGATGTTCGCCTGCAACACAGGAGGAAAGGGGAGAGCAGCGTTAGAGCTGGGGGCGGGGCACAGGCTGGGGAGAGGAGGGGGCCATGGTGTGGGCTCACCTTCAGGAATGACTCCATCTGTTTCCCGGATATGCCCTCCACGCGTTCCAGGTCCTCCACCTGGCAGGACAGCAGCGATGGGAAGGGGTGGGGGGTTGGGGGGGGTGAGTTGCCGCGCTTCTCCCCTGCCGCCCCCCATCCCAGGCCGCCCTGGCTGGGCCATTCATTACCTGGCTGAAGGGGCCGTGGAGCTCCCTCCAGCCCACGATGAGCTGGGCCTTCTTTTGGCCAATGCGCTGCAGGCTGCGCAGATCCCGGGCTGAACCTTCGTTCAGCAAATCTAATATTTTTTGGCGCCCATGGGCCAGTAGCTCTGGGTTGATCTGTAGCTCCCAGCAGTCCTCAGCCTTCTCCTCTGGCTCTGAGGCACCCAGGGACTCCAGCTATGAGGCAGGGGGAGGTGAGTGACAGAAACAGTTTGCTATTCAGCCCGTGGCATCAAACTGCTTTAGACTCCTCTGCCAAGGATAGGAACCTAACAGCAGCTACCTCCCCGCCCTCCCTAGCCTCTCTTTCCCTCCAGTATCTGTCCAGAAACGCTTCAATCCGGTCACCCTGTGGGCTGATTCTCATTTTATCTGACTTGTGAAAGAGTGGTGACTGCTGCCATAAAATAAATGGGTTAATGAATGTAAGGCACATAGTAAGCTCTTAAATCTCCAAAATAAGCTCTTTCACTCCTAGGAAAGAATACAGAAGGTACGCAATAAATGACACCCACGCCCCCAACATGTCACCTCAAGTTTTTAGTTAATTCTTGCAGTGTTGTTTCATTTCTTGAATGCTTACGTCATGCTTCCCTAAGTTGGCTCTTAAGTTTGTAAAGAGTGGGACGCAGGCTACACAACGTACCTAGCAAGTAGCGACTGACTGACCGAGGGTGAGAGCCATTAGGAAGAAAGGGAAGTAACAGGTGTTGGACACCCTCTCCAGTAGGTACATACTGTATTTTGTCCTAAATGCTCTGTGAGGTATTTCCGTATTCAGAGGGTAAACAGCTTGCAAATTGCTGATACTGCTTTGACTCCCTGGCTAGTGCTTTCCACTAGCGCTCACTACCCACCCTTCTCTGCTCTAAGTGTAGCTTAAGCCTCCAGCTGCTCTCACCTTTCTCTTCCGGCCTCTCTTCTTCAGGATATGGATCTCAGCATTTGGGGATGCTGCCTGCTCCTGAACTGAAGGCAAGAATTGTGAACCAGAATCATGGCAGAGGCTACTACTTCTCACCCTCCCTGGTGGCCACGTGGTTCTCCCATTTCTGATTCCCTGGGTCGGTCCCCTCCATCCCAAGTTAACCTCTTCTGTTGTTGTTTCCATGTGACCTTTCTTGTATTGGAAAGTAGTCTGTTGTTAGTGCATGGGAACATACTAAATGCCTGAGAACAGAACACCCATGCTCTGTTTCAGACTGTCCTTACCCCTTCCTGGGGCTGCAACATAGTGGGAGCACACAGACAACATGATGAAACTGCTCCAAACACCTCTTCTCTTTCCAAGTTCTGTTATCTGGCCCTCCTGGCCCCACAGCCAAACTTACTCAGTTGTAGGGGCATCACCACAGCCTTTTTGAGGGGCTTAGCTACTGTGACTGTGCGGCGTGCAAGCGGTCGGAGCACTGCAGGAGAGTTTTCTTTATCCTTTGGATCCACAGCCTCCTGGGCCAAAACCTTGGCTTCCAGTTCTTTTTGCTTCATCTTAAGCCTCTATTGGAAAGGATCAAGAAGACATGCGACCTAGAACCAACTTTTGGGCAGCTTGAAAGGCAGTGGGTTCGGAAAGGGAGTACAGGGCTCTGAGGCTGTCCAGCTGGGCAAAGACCAAGGAGAGAAGCCACCAGGAGACACCTGGAGCCCACTATAATGAAGGGCTTTCTAATGATCAGAGATGCTCAGAAGCGGACTGGGCCCTTTAGTGAAACTTAATTTGAGCTGGTGTTAGGAAATGACAAAACCTGACATTTGTTCCTTTTACCTGGATTTCCACCCCCCTCACTTCCTCACAGCCATGTTAAGAACATTCAAGCAAAAAGCTGAAGAGCAGGGATTCCCTGTGTTAGGTAAAAACTGGATGCTGGTCCAGCCTTTCAGTTGTCCTTCCCTATTTGAAGATCCTCAGATTGTTTCTCAAGGCCAGTAGGAATCCCAGCCCTCCCCTCCCCAACACTTACCTCAATCTCCAAATCTTTCTCTTCCATGGTCTTCATAAGCATCATCTGCTCTCGCCTCGGGGTGTTCAGCCCATGGGTTCCTTGGCTCCCCTGGGAGCCCAACAGACGGTCCAAGCTGAGGAGGCGCTCCAGCAGGGCTGGGTCCATGTTACTTAGCTTCTGTAGGGGGCTGAGCAGACAAAGGTCACTCTGCACCTACCTCTTCTCGCCCTCTCCACAGCAGCAGGATTCCCTTCGTTATGCCTTAAATTGGTGTATTCTGTGATTTCAGGTTCTGCTATTAAGTTGCTGGACAACACTGAGCAAGTCATCAGACTCTCTGGGTGCAGGGTCTTCGCCAGGTGAACAGGGATCAATCACTACTTGTCCAGGGAACATCTCAGGGATGCCAGGAGATCCGATGAGAACAAGTATTTACTGAACACCTGAGCTGTAAGTGTTCAGGCTCTAAGACACTGCTCTGCCCTATGGGCACTCACAGTCTAATGGGAAAGAAGAGACTGTGACATGGTGACAGCAAAGGCTGTGTGCCAGTTTATTTGGAGGAGCAGTTGGGGAAAGATCCACAGAGGAAGTCATCTTCAAGCAGGGCTCTGAAAGCCACTGCAGACCTCAAATGCCAAGCCTTCTTCCTATGGGCGGTGGGAAAGGCATAACTGCACTGGGTCCTAACTTAATCCGAGCATAATGCCTAACATTTGTTCCCACTGTCTGGAATTTTTTCCCTCACAATTATCATTCAAAAGTCAATTTGATACCACCTTTCTGATAAAACCCAGCCTGATTGTGTACCTTCTTTCCTATACTGTGAACTAGCTCCTCAAAGACAGGGACTGCACTGTTCTTTGTGTGCAAGAGCCTAGGAAGAGCAGGGTCAGAAAATATGGGCAAGTACTAGAAGTCATTTCTTCCTCCCTGCCTCTCACAGAAGCAGCCCCTCCTTTCTTATTGCACCCTGTACTACCTACCCTCCCTCAAATGATGATGTTCTAGTTCTTCTTTCCTTTAGGCCCTGAGGGCAAGGTCTGACTAGGTGATGTGTGCCATCTCTGATCTTTCCCGGGGTGCCTATCTGGCAGAGACTTTGCCTATTCACATGTGCGGGGGTGTACGTTTCTCTGAGTTTGTGCACATAGGATGGGACGGCTGACAAATAGCTTGAGACACACAAAATTGAGATGGGGTTCTAAGCAAGCAAGCACCTTCTTCTGTATGCCATCCATCCTCAACTACAGTAGCCTCCCAAGGGCGGAGTATGTACTAATCCTTGACCTCCTCAGGTCACCCCTGTTCACTAGTCTTCAGACTCACAGTTTAGAGAGACTTTGCTTGGGCTTGGGTAGAAACTGGGCAAAGATAAAACTGCCACTGGCTCCCTAGAGTTATTAGAAAGCTAGGCAAGACCACCAAACAGCAGTGACCTAAGGATTCGTACATAATGAGCCATGGGGCGGGACCATCAGAACCAAGGAGGGTGGCCATACACACACAGCAGGGACACGACTCTGGACTGAGGTTAGAAGCAAAGTTAGATAGCAACTGGCTCTTTGTAGAGTCCTGGAGACACTAGACTCTAACGCATAGACTGAAAGATCTGAGAGGGACATGGCTCTTCATCTCTTCCTTGTCTCTTGGCTTTGCGCTTATCCTCTAGACCTGAAAGACCGGATCCGGATTACTCCTTGAATCAGAAATAGCTGCCCCCAAATGTGAGGTTTTGCTGACTGCCTAAAGGGGTTGGAAAATGGAAAGAGAGGGGCTAGGAACTCAAGGAGGCTTCCTTCAGGCCCCGGGCAGCAGCCCCAAGGATAGAAATTGATCTTAGCACTTCAGTGAATTCAGTAGAGTAGGATTTGGGGTAAATTCCATGAGGACCAAGTTCACAGGCTGAACCCACTACTGCCCTGCACCCAACCCAGACACAAGATAACAGGGAATATACCCAAGGCCCCTCCCACTCTGCTCACCTGAATTTCTGAGAGGCAGAGGCTGGAGCTGCTGTAGGTTCAGGACTCCCAATCTCCTCTTCCTCAGGGCCTCGGGCTCTCTTTGCCTCTGATGGGCCTAGCAGTTCTTTCTGAGACAGTTTAACGGGTGCCAAGACTAGGAAAGATGTGGGGGGGAGGGTCAGCCTCTGTGCTGATGCTTGGCAGAGTCAGCAAATTCCCCAGCTGTCCATATCTGGCTTATCCACTCTTGCCAACCCCAGTCCTCACCACGAAGCTGCAGACTCTCATTGGTAAAAGGCCGGTTGATCACCTCCTTGGACCTGGCAGCAAAGTTGAGCGCAGAGACTGTATCTAGGTAGAAGCGCCTCTCAGGGGCAATGTTGGCAATGAGGATGCTGTGGGCTGAGCCACCCAGAGAATCCTGAGGGATGGGGATTGGGCAGGATAGGCAGATCAGAAGCCCCACATTTGCATTCCTTTTTTTTTTTTAATGTTTATTTATTTTGAGAGAAAGAGAGAGCAAGCTGGGCAGGGGCAGAGAGAGAGGGAGAGAGAATCCCAACAGGCTCTGTTGTTGTCAGCGGGGCTTGATCCCAGGAACTGTGAGATCAAGAGTTGGAGGCTCAACCAACTGGGCCACCCAGGCACCCCACCCCCACCCCACAACGTTTTCATTCCTTGACTTCTGGTCCCCACCCTCCCAGCACACCTGAGAACCTCCTTCTCCAGCCCCTTTTCACCCTGAGGTGGGTGGCCTGACCTGCAACAGGCGAGTGAGCTTGCTGTCCCGGTAAGGCACACGAGGGAGGCCCTGGTTCAATGCATCCACCACCTTGCCCAGTACAAAGAGGGAGGAGTTGATAGCTCCGCTTTCCTTCAACCGCAGACCCTTGTTACCCGTACGCCGGTTGTCCTCTGAACCAGCCAAGTCAATCAGGTAGAGTTTACCCTCCCGCTGGCGGAACGGGGCCAGACGTTCCTGCTGATCCACCTGGGGTTAAGAGCAAGGGCCCCCGACTTAGTTCAGGCTCTCGGGCCTTCCTGGGTCCTCACCCTGTCAGCGGGCCTCACCTTCACCAGGAGCACAGCGTGACTGCGGGAGGAGCGCTGGTTGAGCCGAGTGGCTCCTACGGTCCGGTTTCTACTGGCTGGCAGGAAGTGCCGCTCAAAATCAGCAAAGCTAGTGATGGGCTTCTGAGTGAGGCCCGGAATCAGGATGTTTCCTCGGCAGTCTTCTCGGATCACCAGGTCTCCTGAGGCAGGGTTCAAGAGGTCTAATACCTGTTGGAGCAGTAAGAGGTAGGGCCAGTTCTGCACATGCAGGCTGCTTACTTCCTGGGCATCGGTCTCCTTTTTCCTGCCAGGCTGTCAGAGCTGTACCATCTGCTACCTCAACCTCTTGTTTTCCTAGGTCTTGCCTCCTTGCTGGAGTAGAGCTTTATGCTCAAGAACTGGATCTTATTTTGACTTTTGTCTCTTCCCTCCCCAACCACAGTTGGGGGGTGGGGCTCACCTTTTCCTGGTAGATCTCTAAGTAGGACATAGAGACGGAGAGAGCCCATGGCCGGCCCTCGCTGCCCTCCTCCCTTGTGAGCTGCAGGAGGTCCATGAGAGCCCGGGGAATCACTCCGGGTTGCTCTGGGCTGCCCAGCATTGTGTGCGTCTTCCCTGGGGACAGAGTGGAGATTGCTGTGAGATCTTCCTCCCCGCTCTGAAGCCCTTTCTGACCCATGGCTGTTCCCTATCTGGGTCCCTCACCTGCCCCTGTGGGCCCATAGGCAAGCACACTGGCATTCTGCCCTTCCAGCAAGTGCCTCAAGATGGGCTGCACTGATCCCACATAGATGTCCTGCTGAGAGCTCCTCTCTCCATAGAAGGCATCAAACCTGCAGGCAGGAAAAATGGAGGGAAATCAGTGGAGGGTTTCATTCTCATCCAGATTTAGAGGGTAATACTAGCCACAGATTTAAAAGAGTCTCTATCCCTTTTCCTGCATAAAGGCCTTAGAAAGCACCCCCTGAACACCTGCCCCATTCCTGTCCCTGTACTGGTGTTAGAAATACAGAGATGAATCTGATGCCCTGATCTTGAGAGTTCTGTAGTCTGGTGGGATAGAAAGATACCCATACTTTGTCATGATTTAGGAAACGAAGAAGAGGACACACTAGAAAGAGTAAGTGATTCTGCCTGAGCAAAGAGGATTTTGCCAGAGAGAAAAGAGAAAGATATTCTACATATCAAAAGTAGCACACAGGGGTGTCTGGGTGGCTCAGTTCAGTGTCCGACTCTTATTTTTTTAATGTTTATTTTTTTTTAATTTTTGAGAGACAGAGAGAGACAGAGTGTGAGTGGGGTAGGGGGCAGAGAGAGAGAGAGAGAGAGGGAGACACAGAATCTGAAGCAGGCTCCAGGCTCTGAGCTGTCAGTGCAGAGCCCAATGCAGGGCCCGAACCCACGAACGGTGAGATCATGACCTGAGCCAAAGTTGGATGCCCAATTGACTGAGCCACCCCGGCACCCCAGTGTCCGACAATCTTGATTTCGGCTTAGGTCATGATCTTCACAGTTCGGGAGATCTCACTGACAGCAAGGGAGCCTGCTTGGGATCCTCTCTCTGCCCCTTCACCACTGGTGTTTTCTCTATCAAAATAAATAAAAATTAACAAAACTTAAAAAAAAAAATAGCACAGAGGAGGCATGGTGTGAAAGGGCAGGGCTTCCTGATCTTTTCCCCAACACACAAGGAAGCAATAAGTGTACATCACAGGGGAGCAGAGGATGCTGCCTCTGACTAGAAGAGACCCCCCTCAACTGCAGCCTACTCTGTGCTCTGGTAGAGAAGCAGTGGCTGAGGCCACAGCAGAGATTAGTGTTTTAAGTGGAGTGTAGCCTGTGTGGGGGGGAGTGAGGCTGGAAAGAAAACAAGTCAAATCGCCAAGGGCCTAGAGTGAGGTTGTCAAACTTCAGTAAAGAGCTGAATAATAAATATTTTAGGCTTGATGAGCCTTAGGATTCCTTTCGCAGATGTTCACCTCTGTCACTACAGAAAGCAGCCCGTAGACAGTATGCAAATGAACAAGTGTGGTTCTGTTCCAATAAATGTTTTATTACCAAAGAAGACACCTGGTCAGATTTGACCCACAGGCCATAGTTTGCCACCCCCTAGTCTAGAATGATAGGCCAAAGAGTCTCAACTTTCCACCTCCAGTGGGGTTTTTGTTTTTGTAATTTTTAATGTTTAATTTTGAGAGTGGGGAGAGGGGGTGGAGAGAGGGAGACACAGATTCCGAAGCAGGCTCCAGGCTCCGAGCTGTCAGCATAGAATCGGACAAACGGCGAGCTCATGACCTGAGCTGAAGTCAGATGCTCAACCAACTGAGCCACCCACACGCCCCTCCTGTGGGGTTTTAAAGTGGCTGCTCTTATGAGTTGTCTCCGGATGGCCTTCTCTCTCACATCGCTCAGCTGCAGTCTGGGCTAGCTGGCTGGCTGGCTGGCTGGTCTATGTCCCTCCCACCCTCCCCACACCGCCCTGATCCTAGCTGGGGCTCCCCTGGTCACCTTTGCTACTCCTTCCCCACTTTGTGCCCATTTCCCCCATGAGACTGTGAATAGTAACGTAAGTCTGGTTCAGCCTCCAGTTATTCCCCAAGTATCCAACAGAAGACTGGTCACAAGTAGGCAGCTATGAACATTTCTGAAAAACCAAATGAAGCTGTGCTAAGGAAGGTGGAAGGATCCTAAAAAAGGCACATCTGAGAAGCTGTCTGGGCAAGTGATAACGTGAGAGAGGAAAGGGAGAGGAGGGAAGAGTGGCCTGAACCTTACTGGTATTTGAGAGTCTCCTGGTGGTTCCTCCAGTTGGCAATCTCTAGTGAACAGCTGTCCAGGCCTCGCACACAAGGGGGATCACCTGCTCCAGCTGTCCCATCCACAAACGGTCGCAGCCTCACAGCCACCCTTACTCGAGCTGGGGGTGGCCGTCGGCCAGCCCCCACCTTGCTTAGCCGGCAGCGACCAGCTCCTAGAGGAGAGAAGGAAAGTTTTCAGGCACGAAATACCAGGGTAGCCCAGAAGCTGCAGGGGCCGGCTTTGCTGAGAGGTAACGAGTCTTGCAGGAAGAGATACTTGATGTGGCCAAGCTCTGATGGACGAATAGTGGCTTGCCCACCATTCCAGGCAGAAGGAATGGCATGTGCAAAAGCATGGTGGTGTGAAAGCACGGCCCCCTGGAGAACTGGTAAGGCGGGCCTCTGTGTTCTGTTAGGATGAGCAGGGAAGGGCAGGATGGAAGACAAAGATGAATCAGATACATGGTCTCAGGAGGAGTACGGTCAGGGGTGAAAGACATTACATACAGGTCAGGGACTGCAAACTGTATCATGTACTTAGCAAACATTAACATTTATTAGGCACCGTCTACATGCCAGGCACACTTTAATCTTCATGGTGTCCCTGAGGTAGGTTCTCTTAGTGCCATTTTACCAATGAAAAGGCTTATGGAGGTGCAGTAGCTCTTCTGAGCACCTCGGGAGCTTACACCTGGGGCCTCGTGGCCATTGCATCTTGTTTCATAGCCTACATTTTGTCTTTTTGCTCCTCAACAGAATAAGCAGAGCCTGAAAACAAAACAAAACCCCAGCATCTTAAGTAGACTAGAGACCCACATAACCTTGACAGAGGGGCATGGAAGATGGACTGGAGGCTAAGGTGGTGGGGACACCACAGGAGGGCCAGGGGCGAGAGCTCATTTTGAGGAAACTCCACCCTGTGTGGGGGTCCTCAAACTTGGTCCCATTTCCTTCCTTGCTCTACAATTAAGTCCAGTGGGGAGCAGACTGTCACGTTTACACAAATAACCCAGAAGCTCTTGTTACAATGCAGATTTTTCTTCCTTCCTGGAAGGAAGCCTGAGAGCCTGCATTTCTAACAAACTGCCAGATGATGTGGATGCTGGTGGTAGGACATGCTTCGGATTGCCAAGGTGTAGACCGGCATCTTACAGGGTTGTTGTGAGGATTAAAAGAGTTGACATTTGCCCCCCCACCCAAAATCAGTCAGTGAACTACCTGACTCTTCTGTGCCTCTATTTCTTTTTTTTTTTTATAATTTTTTTTATAGTTTATTTATTTTTGAGACAGAGAGACAGAGCATGAGTGGGGGAGGGGCAGAGAGAGACGGAGACACAGAATCTGAAATAGGCTCCAGGCTCTGAGTTGTCAGCACAGAGCCCGATGTGGGGCTTGAACCCACAAACCGTGAGATCTGACCTGAGCTGAAGTTGTATGCTTAACCAACTGAGCCACCCAGGTGCCCCGTGTGCTTCTATTTCTTACCTGAGGTTTACCACATACACTGCCCATGTGTGTTACATACACAAAACTGTTAATGCTGGTTTTCTCTTATTGGGGATTATGTGAGTTTCTCTGTTACCCAGTTTTGGGATTATGTGAGTTTCTTTTCTTTATTACCCAGTTATGGGATGTTCTAATGTTTGCATTTAAAAAAATAATAATAATAAATAAATAAATAACACTGGGGATGGACACCTTGGTTTGGAAGGGATAAGGCTGAGAGGCAGCTCAGTCCCTTTCTGCCCCAGCTCAGTTTGCAAAAGGCATTAATATGCAATCCTTCTCTGCTGTAAGCTTTCTGTTTAGTTTGCTTCCAATAATTAAAGTCCCTAAAAAAAAATAAAAGATTATATATATATATTTTTAAATCAGAAAACACAAGATAAAACTTTTTAAAAAACAGCCTGTTTTTGAGGGGGGCGTCTGGGCGGCTCGTCGTCATCTGACTCTTGATCTCAGCTCAGGCCCTGATCTCAGCGTCGTAAGTTCAAGCCCCATGATGGGCTCCACACTAGGCATGAAGACTACTTTAAAAAAAAAAAAAAAAAAAAAAAGCCTGTTTGGGGTGCCTGGCTGGCTCAGTCAGTAGAGCATGCGGCTCTTGATGCTAGGGTAGTGGAGTTCACACCCCACGCTGGATGTGGGTAGAGACTACTTAAAAAAAAAAATAAAAATTTAAGAACAAAGAGCCTCCTTATTTTTGTGAGGATTGAATGAGCTGAAAAATATCTTATGAGGAGGGTATTTCTCTATTTTATGTTGGAGGATATCACATGGTACCACATGGTACCTCACAGCTAACAGGAGAATTCTAACCTAGATCACTTCCAAAAATCTGCTTTCGGGGGGATGCCATATTGCCTATTATTGGGAAAGTTCTTGGCATCTCTGACTCTCTCCCTTTTGCTAGTGGTGGCAGCTTGTTGTCAGGGCCATGGGCTTCAGAGAAGGCAAGAGGCTGGTATGTGTGGCCAACACAGAAGCAGCAAGATGAGAAGGTGGACAGACTACCCCTGCTGAGAATCTTACGCATAAGCCATGCCCATAAGCCGATGGCCTACAAAACCTGGGTTTCCGCTCCCTCATCAGACAGACGAAGCCAGTAATACCACTTCTCACTCTACGGTTTTCAAGGCACTTGGGCGTCTAGTTTTCGCTTGATCCTCATGAATGCTGAAAGTCCATAGCAAGTCAAGAGAAACCTGCAGATGCACCAATGCAGATGAGAAAACTAAGGTGCAGAGAAGAGAAGGTTCACTGACTTGTCAGAAATGTGTGCAGGGGCTTCTTCTTGCCTATCTTTCCCAGGGTTTTGGGGAGAACAGAGAAAGTTGGCAGATACAGACACATTTAAGGAAGTTTAAGGGGAAGGGGAAGTCTGTGGTGATGTACTTGGGTCAGACAGAGCTGAATTTCAATTTTAGCTCTAACACTTGTTAGCTTGTGACGTGACCTTGGGCAAGGGACTTGACATCCAGGTGCTCTGGCTTTTTTTGTCTATAAAATGGGGTGGGGTAGGCCTTGGGGAGGCTTAATGAGAATTAAAAGAAGTAACACGTAAGATACCAATACAGTAACCAGCACAGTAAGTAGTTTCATTATTCAAGGTAAGATGCCTGGGTTCAAATTCCAGCTCTGCCACTTACAAGTAAAGGGGTACATGATGGTCTATTCCTGTGCCTCAGTTTCCACACTGGTAAAATGGGAATAAATATAAATACGTTCTAGCTGGGTTGTGAAGGCAATAAATAAGGTAATTCATGTGAAAGTACTCAGAATCGCATTTGGTACGTTGGTAAAAGCCTTAGTAAGTGTTTTATTTTATACTACTCATCTTTCATTTTCTAAATGTGGAAAGCTTAGTATAGAGAGGTTGGCTAACTTGCCTGTGGTCAACAGGTACCTAGTGACAGAGCTTCACACAAATGAAAGCCTAACTCTGAAGTTCATTTTATGCGTCTCCAGACCTTCCTGGCTCCTCATCTTTGTATCCCCATGGGGCTTGGAGTTAGAGACAAGTTCCACCTACCTAGCAGCTGGGTGTGCTTAGGAAGCCTTTGTCACCTTTACAAGCCTCAGTTTCTCTTTATAAAATAATAGCATCATGAGATTGTGAGAAGTCAAAGAAGGAATGTACATACATACAATGTTTAACACAGTGGGTGGCAGCAGGTACTCAGTAAATATTAGCTATTATTATTATTATTACACCTGCAATTCACTTCTACCCTCACCATTCAGCAGGGTCACTAATGACCTCCCTACTGCTAAATCTAGTGGACATGCCTGGTCCCCATTCTATTGGACTTCCCTCAATCTGCTTTCCTTTGAGAAATCTACTTTCCACTAGTTTCCGTGCCAGAGAGTTGAGGTGAACAGCTCTCTGCTCACTCCTTCTAAGTTTCTGCCAATCTTAAACGTTTTTTAACATTCTATCCTTTCTCTAGCCCAAGGTCACTCAACTTTGGCCCTAATATTTTGGGCTGCAGAATTCTTTGTAGTGGGGTTGTCCTGTGTCTAGCACATATATGCTAAACACACATGCCAGTAGCATCCTACGCACCAACCTCCCCACGGTTCTAAGGTACTTCAAACCCCACTTTTCCTAAATTGAACGCTCACCATCGCTCCCTTGCCACCTGGACCTCCTTCTATGCTTCCTAATGTAAATGAATGGAACCAACCCCAAAGACAGGAGTCTTCCTTAACACCAGCTTCTCTCTCACCTTCTACATCAGTTATTCAATAACATCTGTCAAATCTGCCCTTTTAGAGGAGCCCACTTCTCTGTATCCCCACTGCACAATCTTCGCCAAGGCAACCATCATCTCAACAGTCTCCCACATCGGTCTCTGTGCCTCCAGTCTCACTCCCCTCCAGTCGCTTTCTTTCTACTTCCTCCCTCCCTTCCTCCCTTGCACTTTAAGCTCTCAGCCACAATGACCTTCCTTCAGTTCCTACAACATGCCCCGTTTTCTCATACCTTGGGGCCCTTGCACGTTATCCTCTCTCCTGGGAATATCTTCTTTCTCACTCTCTCCCCTATGTGACTGAGGTAAATACACCTTACTTCCTCTAAAACAAAACAAAACAAAAAACAAAATAAAACAAAACAAATCCTTCTTCTGTAAAATTACTGCCCCGCTAAGTTGTATCCATGGCTCTCTGGCTCCTCCATCCAAGCACTCATCACACTCCACTGTATCTGCAGATCTGTCTTTCTGCTCCATCTAACTGTGAACTCAAGTGACAACAAGTCTTACTCTGATCACTTACATATCCTCAGTGCCTGGCACAGAGTAGTTCTCAAGGATTATTTGCTGATCAAATTAAGTTTTGGTGAATGAACATGAAGCATCAGCTTGTTTTGTTTCCTGTTTTCTTTATAAAAGTGGTTCACTGCCATTCCTGTCCCAAAGCTCACAGTCCAAGAGAGAAGGAAAGGAGAGGCACACGTATACAACTGCTTATAGTACAAGAGTCTATCCCTTTTATCATAAAAGCAACTTTAAGGTTGGGGAAGGCTAGCATTTATTTTTTCTGATTTCCTCCCTCCCACAATTTCCCAATGTCATTTGGCTTAACTCTTATTGATGAGGAAATTGAGCCAAAGACAGCGTCGCTGGCCTCTTTATACAGCATAAATAAATTACTTGGTGGTCTTTTCATCCAGCCAAGGCCTGGTAAACTCCTATCCAACCTTTGAAACCCACTTCAAATATCACTTCCTTCATCAGGTCCTCCCAGAATATACAAGGGTTTACTTACTTCAGATTTTGCACTCTCTACAGCAGTTTATACATAGCTCTCATTGCTTTTCATGATAGCATATATTTACACGATTAGCTACTGAAACAGATTATAAGCTCGTCTGGGGAAGGGTCAATATTCATTCAAGCATTTTTACTGTCTCTACTATGTACCAGACACAGTGAGTGTCGGAAAAGTGAGGAGAGGAAGGCTGTGCTCCGAAGGCAGGAATATCATGTGCTTATGCATAATGGTTAAGAGAAGAGGCTTTTAGAGTAGGACTGCCTGAGAATTCAGACCCCAGTATTTACTAGTTGTGTTAACTTCGAGCAAGCTACTTAACCCATCTATGCCTCAGTTTCCTCATCTGTAGAACAGGGACAATAACAGCCAACCACCTCCTAGCATTGTGTAGCAATTAAATGATTCATCACATTAAGTGCTTGTGACTGTGCCTGGCACCTAGCAAGGGCTCAACATGTGTTTGACATTCGGCTAGAGAGCTTTGTTTCTCCACGGGGCCTGAGAAGCAGCAGGGGACTCAAATCAGTTACTATGGTCTCTACCACAATCAATGACCAGAATTCAGTGGAGAGGAAGAGCGCAGAGACATATGTAAACAAATATTCACATACAAGATTCGTAATGTCCCAACAGTCTTTCCAACCCTAAAATAGCACTGACCTCCACAGCTAGAGGGGAAGGAAACAATCCCTTATTTCCCTTATCTGTGATCTGGGCACATCTTCTGCTGTCAACAACTCTCACCCAGCTGCTGTGCCTTGGCCTGCCCTCCAGCATCTCCCAGGGTTCTCCGCTCACCCAAACAGCACGTCAGACACAGAACCCTCCCCCGCAAAACGCGCATCCAACTCTTGTTTTGTCCCTACGGGGGTAACTGTCCCCATTCTACAAAGAAACTGAAGCTCACAGAGGAAAAGGGCGCTAGGCTCCAACAAAGCTCCAGTATCGGAACCGGATGTCTTACCACGGTCAACCGACCCGCACGGAGAGCTGGAAATAAGTGAGAAGGAAAGAGCGAGGGTGGGGTGACCAGCTCGGGACTCCCATCTTCCCCTCCCCGCCCCCGCGCCATTTTGGCCTCTCGCAGACAACCCGCGGAAGCCGGACCGTCCGAACCGCGGACTCCAGCACATTACTCCACCAGGCCCCAAACTTCGGCGCCGGGCGGGGTTCGCATACCTGAGTTCGCCGCCATGCCGCGTCGCCTCAGCTGCGCGGTACCCCCCGCGTCCATTCCGTTCCCTCCGCTGGCCCGCCTCTCCTATTCGAATTTCCCGGTGCCCCGCCCCCTGCCTTGGCTTCCACCAATCACGGCTACTCGCTGCCGGAAGCCCCTGCGGGTGGTTCGGAAAGATCCCGCCCTCTAGGGCGCGCCTCAGGTGCTGCAAGAAAGTTTCCCCCGGCGGAGGACGCATGCGCACAAAGTGGCTACCCAGCTGTGGACACCCCGGTGCGCGCTCTGGCTTGAACTCGCGCCGGAGGCTTGGGCGGTGGTGGCTGTCGGAGGAGCTGCTGAGCGCCGCTGGGCGCTGGACTCGGTGTACTGTCTGGCTTTCGGGTTTCGAGGCCTAGATTTGCGTAAGTGCAGACTTTTCGCCTCGTTTCCCCATCAACCACGAATTTTGGTACTAATCAACCAGGCAGTGATCGAAGGCACTTAATCGATTTACCCCCCGATTTCCCTGAATTGAATACAATTTTCGCTGTTTTAGTGGCAGAAGAGGTGATTATATGAAAAAGGGAGACGTGTGTGGAAGCGGGTTATTCAAAGTGAGTTTCACTTTCTGCAGTTTCTTACCTGGGCTTGTTTCGCTCCCTGTGGGGCGGGGGTCGTTTTGTGGGTTCTCGGACTTGAACTTAGTGCCAGGCGACGGTACTTTACCGTCTGGTCACTGCTGTAGGTCTGGGCCACACTATGTGGATTGTAGACAGTCACGTTGCACTTCCCTCTTGCTGAGCCCAGATCACCATGCAGATGCCAGGTGACAGGTCTCCTCTTTTGTTAAATCTGCGCTGGGGAGACCAGGGGAGACCAGCTCGGATGTTCCTTACTTTGTAATTCAATACATCGGAGTGAGCCTTAAAGGCATGTTCAGTCTTTTACCTAGTCGACTTCATCCAGGTTGGATTCAACCCAGTGTCCTAGGGGTTCAGCCATCTGTGAAGTCCCTGTTCTTTCTGGAAGCTTAACCACGGATGAATGTCCCATCTTTGAGCTCCCGACAGGGCCCGGGTTTAGACGTATCTAGCCTATTAAACAAAACAAATGTTAGACCAGTGGTTCTCAAATTTTTTGGCCTTGCAATCCTTTACATTCTTAAAAAAAAAAAAAAAAATGAGGCCTCAGGGACGCCTGGCTGCCTCCCTAGGTAGGTAGAGCCTGTGACTCTTGATCTCAGAGTTGTAAATTCCAGCCCCAGGGTGGGTGTAGCGATTACTTAAAATTAATTTAAAAATCTTAAAAATTGAGGCCCCAGAGATCTTTTGTTTATATGGGTTGTGTCTTCATAGTTACTGTATTAGAAATGAAAACAGAGGTGCCTGGGTGGCTCTGCTCCGGCTATGAAGCTTGCAACTCTTGATTTCCGCTCAGGTCATGGTCTCACTTAGTGAGTGTGAGCCTTGAATGGCTGATAACAGTGTGGAGCCTGCTTGGGATTCTCTCACTCCCCACTCTCTCACAAGCTCTTACCCTGCTTGCTCTCTCTCTCTCTCTCTCTCTCTCTCTCAAAATAAATAAACTTTAAAAAAAAGAAATTAAAATTAAAAAAAATTTAATGTTCTATTTATTTTCGAGAGAGAGAGAGACACAGTGTGATCAGGGGAGGGTAAGAGAGAGTGGGAGACAGAATCTGAAACAGGCTCCAGGCTCTGAGCTAGCTGTCAGCACAGAGCCTGATGCGGGACTCGAACCCATGAACAGTGAGATCATGACCTGAGCTGAAGTGGGATGCTCAACCGACTGAGCCACCCAGGCACCCCAAGAAATTAAAACATTTTTTAAAATATTTATTAATGCACTTAGAAATTGCAGTAACATATCCACAGAGACAAAGTAGATCAGAGGTTGGTGAGGGTTGGTGAATTAGGACTATTGCTGTTAGCTATAGAGTTTTTCTTTGGGTGATAGAAATGTTCTGGAATTAGTGTGATAGTTGCACAACACGGTGACTATTAAAAAACCGCTGAAGTGTACATTTAAAAATGATAAGTGAATTGTATATCCATTTAAAAATCTGCCCCCAAAATTACAATAACAAACCCATTACACAGAATATAAATAACATTTTACTTTTAAAAATAACTTTTTAAAATGTCCATAAGATTTACCATTTAAAGTTTATTTTGAGGGAGAGTAAGTGGGGGAGGAGCAGAGAGAGAGAGAGAGAATCCGAGAGAGAGAGAGAGAGAGAGAGAGAGAGAGAGAATCCTAAGCAGGCTCTACTCACGGGGCTTGAACTCAGGAACTGTGAGATCATGACCTGAGCCGAAACCAAGAGTCAGATGCTTAACCAACTGAGCCACCCAAGCGCGCCCCAGAAATAAATTTGGAAATTTTTTCCGAAGCAAAATAATAATAATAATAATGAGATGGGTGGCATTGTTTTACATTTTTTACAAATATAATGTGTGGCTTAAGGGAAAATAGCTGTATTCTCATATCTGCTTCTGCATTCAGTATATTGTGGTATCGGTACATCATATAGCTTCTTGAGAACTGTAAGGCTTCAAGAGAGGATGCAAGGAGAAAAGTCAGATGGCATCTCAGTTTTATTATGAAAATGGTTTTGGCCTTGCAGCCGCCCCCCCCCCCCCCAAAAGTGTCTCACGGGCCTCCAGAATCTCCTGGACCACACTTGGGAAACTGCCCTCTTACACGATCGGCAGTTTGGTCTTCCCCACACTTCAGAAAAGCCTCTTCAGGGTTTCCCATTTGTTGCCAGTCCCCGGAAATTTGGTAAGGTCCCTGCCAGGAGTCATGGAAAGAGCACAGGTCAGGGGGTCAGGACTTCTAAGATTGAATAAATAGCTTAGGCACCGGGCTTTGTATCACACCACCCGGGGTAGAGGCGTAGCCAGCCTCTCTGTGCCTCCATTTCCTGAGGTGCAAAAAGGGAGTAATGGTTGAATCTGCTTCCTAGGGTCTTAAGGATGTGCATCTGCCTGGTGGAAATTAGGTTCTTAAATACCTGACAGGTGAAGGTAAAGAAGCAGCGGATTTTTTTTTTTTTTAATTTTCCTTTGGGAAGCAAAGGAGGAGAGAGGAAAGTCATGAATTTACACCATAACAACTGGAAAGAGACTAGTCAGTGAGGAACATGGTTCTGTCCTTTAAGCCTGAGAAGATCTAAGTGAGGATCATCTCAGGTGAGAGGCATAGCAGCAGTGATGAGGAAGGGAATTGGTGCTGGAAAAGACCAGACCTGGGGGGTCAAGTGGGGACGGAGGACTCCCGTGAGAGATAATAGAGCGCTCAGGTGGCCAGGAGCCTTGCCAGTCTGCCAGGTGGACATCTGTTTCCTTCACCTCATATATGGTTATATCAGAGCTGGGTGGAGGGGTGGGGAGGTTCCTAAAAGGAACCGCAGGCCCTTTCCTGAAGGCTCGGAGGTAGGCTCTGAAGGCTGCTGTGCATGCAGCTAGTTTGATGTGTTCATTGCAGGGGATGCCTCGAGAAGACAAAGCAGGTTAGCGTATTCACATTTACGGCATGGGGCTCCTGGCTGCTCAGTCGGTCGGTCGGTTTGTCTGTTGAGCGTCTGACCCTCGATTTCAGCTCAGGTCATGATCTCAGGGTCATGGGATCGAGCCCCGTGTCAGGCTCTGCACTGAGCATGAAGCCTGCTTAGGGTTCTCTCTCTCTCACTCTCTCTCTCTCTCTCTCTCTCTCTCCCCCTCCCTCCCTCCTCCCTCCCTCTCTCTCTCCCTCCTCCCTCCCTCTCTCTCTCCCCCTCCCCCTTTCTCCCTCCCTCTGCCCTTCTCCCTAGCGCACGTGCACCAAATCAATAAATAAGATACTGTAATCCCTAGAGCAAGAATTCTCAAAATTGTGGTCTGGGGACCCCTGGCCTCTACAGAGTTAAAGCAATTTTTTTTAAAGTTTATTTATTTTTGGGGCGCCTGGGTGGCTTAGTTGGTTGAGCTTCCGACTTTCGCTTGGGTCATGGTCTCGCGGTTCGTGGGTTCAAGCCCCGCATCGGGCTCTGTGCTGACTGCCAGCTCAGAGCCTGGAGCCTGTTTCAGAGTCTGTGACTCCCTCTCTCTCTGACCCTCCCCTACTCATGCTGTCTCTCTCCTAGAAATAAATAAAACATTAAAAAAAAAAAATTTAAAGTTTATTTATTTTTGAGAGAGAAAGTGTGTGTGTGTATGAGTGGGGCGGGGGGAGCAGAGAGAGGGGGAGACACAGAATCCAAAGCAGGCTCCAGGCTCTGAGCTGTCAGCACGGAGCCCGACACGGGGCTCGAACTCACGAACTGCGAGATCATGACCTGAACCAAAGCCGGCAGTCAACCGACTGAGCCATCCAGGCGCCCCTAAAGCAATTTTCATAATACTAAAGATGTTGTTTGCCTTTTCAGTCATTCTCTCAGGGGCATACAGTGGCATTTTCCAAGTGCTCCATGTTTTCTAATATACAACAACAGTTTGAATGCAGAACAGGGTAAACTAATCTGTGGTGAAAAGGTCAGAAGAATGGTTGCCTTTCAGGAGTTGAGGGCAAGAAGTGACTGGGAAGGGCCCAGAAGGAATGTTGTGGGGTGATGGTAATGTCCTATATATCTTGATGGAGGATTTTGGCCCAAACTCACGAACCGTTGAGATCATGACCTGAGCCGAAGTCAGAAGCTCAGCTGACTGAGCCCCCATGATGAACCATCATGGCATGGTTTTCTAACTGTAGGAGCTTTAGATTGGAAAATCTTGTCTAAGATTTTGTTTCTAAGATGATTGAAAATCACAGACTTGTGAAAATTCCAATGTCAGATTTCAGTGTCAGAAAGACCTGAGTTTGATCCTGACTCTGCTCTGTGCTATGCTTGTGACTTTGGACAAGTAACAGCGTTTAGCAGAGTGCTTGACACATTATAGGCATCTAAAGAATATTTGTAATATGACTGAATGAAGCCATGTAGTTTTCCAGAGCTCTAGTTTGTACTAAGTCCAAGAAAGCTCACTTTCATTTGCTCCAAGATTTGGAGGGTTTCTGGGTGACTTTCCTTTAATGGCAAACCGAAGCAGAGAAAAAACCAAACATGCTTTTGTTT